AATGTCGTGCGGGACAGTGTCAAAAGCTTTTTGCACAAGTCCAGGTAGATGATATCCATTGGTCGACCCTTGTCCACCGATGCTGTCACCCCATCATAAAAGGCCACCAAGTTGGTCAGGCACGATCTGCCTTTGGTGAAGCCATGTTGGCTGTCACCCACCACCTCCTTGCTCTCCATGTGCCTTAGCATGGTTCCCAGGAGAATCTGCTCCATGACCTTGCCAGGCACAGAGGTGAGGCTGACTGGCCTGTAGTTGCCTGGGTCCTCCTTGGTCCCCTAAAGCTGCAGCTGTTGCATTGGCCGGGAATCGAACCCGGGCCTCCCGCGTGGCAGGCGAGAATTCTACCACCAATGAACCACCAATGCCAGATGTGAGGTGCTCCACAGTCCTGCCCCACGCCTCATTTTTGTCTTTTTTGCAATGGCACAAAATTAGTGACACGTTCATCTTATTCTCTTCAAATCCTAGTTTTCGTATCGCCATTGATTATTGTACTATGTTAAATAATCATCAAAGTTAAGTGCTATTCTTCAAGACTAATATAAGATTAATAGTAGAAGTGTTTATCTGACAGATACTTAAAATGACTATTTTTCTAAATTTTAGGTTAAAAGATTACTGGAAAATGAGCCAAATGCGTACTGCTTGACAGTTACAGCTGACGCCAGTAGAACCGTTTTTGGAGTCCTGATGGAAAATGGGTAAACTTCTGAGTAAGTTCCTCTTTTGTTATTACATGTATGGTATGCTCTACAATCATTAGTTCAAGTTCCTTTACCAAATGACTTGGTCAGACAGGAAAAAATGAGGAAGCTGGCTAATGCTGACAAAGTAACCATGAAATGCAAAGAATAACTCAATAGATTTTGTGCTTTTGCTGATAAGTAAAGGATTTACTTTGAGTTGTCTTTTCAAACAAAATTACTTACATAATTTTCTTCCACTCACTTGCACCCTTTCACTAAGTATAAGACTGGTCATCTTGCCAGGTTTTTGCTACCTTAAGAAATGAGACAAATAACAGGTAAGTGATGGTTTAGAATGACAAAGATATAGTTTCTGGTTACATGTTCTGATCTTCTATAGTGGAACGTTCCTTCTAGCAGGAACGTTGGGGAGTCATTACTAGAGGGCTGCATGATTCATTGGAAATTAGGCTTTGTTTTGTATCATCTTTATTAAGAAGTGCTCTCTTTATATGGGACTCAGGTTTTAAGTATGACTATTTGTGAATGGCTCCCTCTTTTCCCAGCTGAAGTAGATGTTGATCATTCCAGCCTGGAGTGGCACAAACAACATGGGGAGACTTTGGGCTGTAGCCCAAGCATCAAATAAAATTAAGAGATCTAGAGAAAATTTGGTGATAAAGGCAGCCAGCCATCCCCAACTATCCAGTGAGATTCCAGTAGTGAGAATCTAGTACTGACAGGATTCCAGTATCTATAGTCATATGAAAACAAGACCTAGAAGAAGCTTACTTAGTGTTTTTAAGTCTTGCATAGTAGGAATGAGAGACAACTGAGAGAAGCTATACATGTCATTTATTTAGAGCTATTGGAAGTCCAGCCAGCCTCTATAGTTGTGCTGTTTCATGATCTTTCCAAGTATAACTGCATACATGGTGATCTCTAATGGGGCTTTATTTAAAGAGATCTGCTTGAAATAATCCACTGAAATAAAACTATGCTAAAGTTATTACACAGTCTATTTTAACGGAGTTGTTTATATCAGCACTGAAGTTTCAGCTGAAAATCATTAACACTCCATATTATATCATCCTACATGGTTCAAAAGCATGGCAGAAATAGCAAGACCACAGTTATTGCTTCAGTTACTTCCCGTGGCGTGTAAGAACCCCTGACCCAGCAGGTTAGCCATGTTTTAGAGCCTTGAGTTAGATGTCTTCAACTAGGATACCTTAGTTAGATGCTTTCAGTTGATGCACTTAAGCCATCAGTAGAAACTTGGGAATTTTGCTGAAAACACAAGCAGTGTCTTACAGGAATGAGCTTCGTGCCATCTCATGAGTCCGTACTTGCATGACTGGCTTTAGTTCAGGAGCTTGTACCCACTGTCTCTCCTCATTTTTGCTATGCAAGGCAAAAATTAAGTTTCAACATCTTTATGTGTTTATTGCTTTTTTAATCTAATTAATAGACCCAGTTTTTGAACAGAGGCAGAACTTCCTTTGTGCAGATTCCATATTTTGCCAAGGCCACGATTTCAAAATCACACCTTGGTCTTATCAGTTATTCAGGCTGTTGAATAGGAGATGAAGCATCTGCTGAAGAGCATGTTTGCACAACACCTTTGGAGAAACGGATGGAGAGGAAAGGCACAAGCTGTTAGAAAATATCAGTTTGTATCAGTGAGAAAATAGGTGGTGTGGGAAAGCAGTCAGCCTAAACAACTTAGCTTCAGCTATAAAGAATTGAATGGAAGTATGTAATTTTTATATCCATCAAATAATTCCAATTAGAAGCTATGCTTAGTTTAGTGAGAAGGAAAGTTAGGACTAGAATCTGAGCACATTCTACATATCTTTATATGCAGATTTACCTTGGCCATAAGATTCAAGAAGGAGCTTTAATCAAATGATCTGTTGTTGTGGCAAGCATACTAACATTATCTTAATTTAATAACAACTTTTTCATACTGAGTTTTTGAAATAAACTTCTGCCTAGAGGCTGTATTCCAAAATATCAGGATTTAATTTTTAAAATGTTTTTATTTTTGAATCCTTCATCCAGAGACAGACTAGATGCAGGAATATTTCTGGTTACAGTCGAATGTTCCTCCTGTGATGGACTTGCATGATTTGAATTATTAAGAAGAGCTTTACATTTCTTCTCAGTTCATTTAATTCTGAGAAGTTTTAACAGCCTTTTACAGTTGGCAGTTGCTGAAGCTACAGTTCAGTTACTCTGGTGCACTCCACAAAGTTGAGCCTTTGAAATCTGTGGGCGCTTTCCTCTCTGCTGTTGTACCTCATGCCAGCAAGTACAGATGACAAGTCATTAAATACTAGAGAGAGAGGTATTAGCAAAAAAAAATTTATTAAATATGAGACTTATGTCTGACCTGCTTCCCCCAAACCAATTCTGTCTCCATGGCAACAGCCACAAACGTGTGACAAAACATTAGAGATTTCTCTAAAGAGAAATTTAAATACTTAAAATGTCACTTTTCAAGGAAGCATCATATTTTATCCTCAAACAGGTTTCAAAAGTGCATAGCGTGTTTACAGAAAGACAAGCCTTTTGGCCTGTAAAGTTCCATCAGCTAATGCATTAGGTTCACTCCCCACGGCAAGCAGAGCCAGGCGTCAGAATTAACATTTACTCCGTTAACTTACCTGTTCTGGCAGTGCTTTGGGAATGGGGAGGTATGTCTTCCAAAGTCGAGTTTAGTGTAACTCTGGTATGATAATCACAAAGTTTATCGCAATGTTCTTTACATAAAATCATCCAGAAGTACCTTTGCAGTTAGATTACAAATTACTGCATTGAAAATCATAGCCAGTAAAGTATGTATTTTATTTAGAAAATGCTGAATGGTCTGTTTCTGTATGATTTCAATTGTCATTATTCAACATTTCCAAGTTTTATGAAATTAATGTGAAGAGTTCTTCACAGAGAAGCTCCGATGATCTAACTGATACTCAGAAATCCAAGTCATTTACCATTTTTTACAGTTCTTAAGAACTCTCTCAAAAGCCATTTAATAGTGAGATTATCTTGCATCTCATGTCCCAGCTCTACCGGTTAACTTATACAACTCACTGTGTTCAACTGGCAATACAATTCTGTGTTAGCATCTCAATGGTACGATCACCTTAGGTAATTACACCTTAGTTTTTTCTAATAGAATTTACCATCTATATGTATTTGAGTATGTTTTTGTTATGTGTTCACAGGATAAAAGTCTGGGATGCATTTGAACACCAGCGTAACATTATTCCAGATTATGAAGGCATAAATGATACTGTGATCAGCGAACTCCAGCTGCTGGAGGAAAGGGCAAAAGCAGTTCTACTTGCAGGTCTGTAAAACTGATTATTATACTGGTAATGCTTCTGCAATTCTATTTCGCATCCTTCTCCAGTAATAGATGGCACGTTAGTATTAAAGTTAAACATTTACAAGGCAAAATTTCTAAGTAGGCAATAAAATGTAGGTATATAGTGGGCTGCAACTCTAGTATGGTTTTGATATTATCTTCATTTTATTTTCATTTGAGAAACGATGGGTACTTTCTCCTTTTAAATGGGATATTGACGACTTAAACTTCACTATCTGATGAGGTCAAAAGGAGCCTCAGAATAATTCTGTCTGCCCATCTGACAGACTAGGGAACATGCAGCTCCCCTTTTTGTCCCTGCACTGGAGAGCAGGATTGATGATCCCAGTTACCAATCCTCCCTGTCTCAGGCACCAGGCTATTTTAATGGCTCCAATAAAGTGTTCCTCAGACAACAACTAAAGACATTCTTCATGATCTGAAAAGCATGTAGTTCAGAGAGGACAGAGTCAAAAACAGTCAAAAAACCACGAAAGTGGAACTAAGGAAATAACAGCACCAGATAATCTTCATGCAAATAGCAGAAATTTGGGAGTGGTTGTTGTTGTTTACCACAGGTTCCCTTTACTCTAGACTTTTAATGTCCATTTATATTCATTTCCACCACTGAAACTAGTAACCTATTTGTTATCAACCTCAAACAGCAAGAAAGCAGTATCTCCACACAAGCCCAAAAGGGACATGTAGCTTCCATGGCAGAATTATGAATGGTAGGGCACCTGTGGGCAAATGAATTAATTTCACAACATCTGTCCATATCTCTCCCTTCTCCAAGGGAAAAAACCACAACAACAAAACAAACAAACAAACCAACACTGTTCCTCCACTGCCAGCAAATTCAGCTACTGTGGTAACCTCCCATAGTCCTTGTCTGGGCTGTGGCCTCCCTGATGAACCTTGCTATGTTCCTCACCGGAAGGTTACAGTTGCAAGTAAATTGCAGTCTTTTCCCCAAAAGTATGAAACAGATTTATGCACCTAAAACTTGTCAGATTTTTAAATTCATACTGCATCTCATTACCTAGCATCCAGTTTGCCTCACTGAGACCATGCAGGGGCAAAATGAAGTTTAAGGTAGTATCTGTAAGCCTACCATTTCCTAGCCTGACTGGTGACCTAAATAAAACTTCCAGTATTAGGTTTTTCCAAGATGTAATTTATACTATTGCTGTCAAGAGTTAAGATAGCAGTTGCCATGGAGCTTTAATCTTTTTTTAGGCTTTAGTCAAAGGAAGCTGGAAATATGTATGCTGGGTAGAACCCTGCTCAACAGAATTTTATTTAA